CGACCCGAGTCGGGTAACTCGGTTATCCTTTGCCCACGAAATTCTTACTAAAAAAATGGTGCCGTTGCCGGGGAAGGCAAGTAGGACGCCTAATTTGCTATTTGATTGTGTTTTTTTTCTCGTGTTTCTCTTGATTTATGTGATCTTTGCTTAATTTTCGTATTTCTCTCTATTTCTCTTGTTTTTTTCTAGGTAATTTGTGTTTTATTGATTTTGACTTGATCTTGCTTTCCATTGGTACGTTCACCAGGTATAGTTGTTGTTTTTGTTTATGCGAGGGAGACGAGGGCGTAGACCCCGAGAAGAGACACCATTGATTGACCTCTTTGTTGAACTCAACATCGACGAACAACAACCACAACCCGAACCCGAACCAATGGCGGGCCAAGGAGAGCAATTGCCACCACCACCTCCCCTGAACATGAGATATTTTGCACGTCCTATCATTGGAGACAACACTTCATGTCTCATGCTCGGGGAAGCGGCCCGAAACTACGACCTTAAGATCATCCACTTGAACCAACTCCCGTCACTTTATGGCCTCACCCAAGAGGATGCTCTCAACTTCATTCGAGAATTCTATGCAACCGTCAACACATTCCCCCTCCAAGGTCTAACTGAGAACCAACTTCGAATGAGGTGCTTTCCTTACACATTGAAAGATCGAGCAAATATTTGGTTCATGACATTGCTTCCGAATTCACTCAACACGTGGGAAGCCGTTTACTAGAAGTTCATGGGCAAGTACTACTCGCACCAAAAGACCACCGACCTCCAAAACCCAAATTGCTAGCTTTAGCCAAAACGTGGGAGAAACCTTTCATGAGGCATGGGAGAGATTCAAGGGGTACCAACTTCAATGCCCCCATCATCATTTTTGCCTCGGGGTCCTCAATCAATTTTTTTACGACGAGCTCCACCAAACCCTTCAATACATGGTTGACCACGCGGCCAGACTAGACATAGGGAGCCACACGGCCGAGGAAATCTATAAGCTCTATGAGATGTTGAGCGAAAATTCTCAAAGGAAGAGCGTTCGTAAGAGGGCCCCCGTGGATAAAGCTACACAAACCACCGGGTCTTCGAACGATGCCGTGCTTGCTAAACTAGCCTCGTTGGAGGAGGAACTCAAGAAACTCTGGCTACGTGAGGTGAAATCAACCCAAGTGGTGATGGTCGAGGTGTGCGGTTGTTGTGGCGAGACAGGCCATGGAGGCCACGAGTGTCCATGTTATATGGAGCTGGCCTACGATCCAAATCTTGAAGGAGTCCCCTACGATATCAATGTTATCCAAGGGTATGCCTCCGGGTTCAAAACGACCATTATTCCAACACTTACAACCCGGGGTGGAGGAATCATCCTAACTTCTCGTGGAGGGACCTGAAAGCGGGGTATGCACTACAACCGACACCACCTCAACTCTACAATCAACCCCAAGTCTATGCATCCCTGAACAACCGACCATTCCAACCAAGGCCCGAGTTCCAAGGCTACCAACCGAGGCCTGAGTTTCAAGGATATCCACAAGGGCGTTGGAGGTTTCATTCCAAGGAAACCAATGCCACCTTCACTAGAACCCGAGAGAAATGCCAATGGAGAGTCTTCGGATACCCGGATCGAAAGCCTAGAGAAGTGTCTTCACTTATTGGCCTCAACCGTCTCTACGTCACACGACACCATCAAAGGAGTGCCCTCGATTCAAGCCTCTCTCAAATGCCTCGAGACTCAAATGGGGCAACTTGGAACTTCTATTGGTGAGATCTAAAGGGGCAAGATGAAAGAAAAACTCCCGAGCCAACACGAGCACGTCAACGCAATCACGATTTTGATGAGTGGTAAGAAGGTTGATAATCATGTGGAGATGCCCAAGGAACATGAGATAGATGAGGGTATTGTTGATGAGGAGGATGATGAACCGGGTGAGAGGGTTGATGTTTCCAAGGGAAATGATATTGATGATGATGGAATCGAGAAGGAGAACCTGAAGAAGGATTCTCGTGAGGCTTTGCACAAAGCGGATACACCCTACTGACTACCGGTCCCTTTTCCGAGCCGTTTGCAAGATACAAAGAAGGAGCGTCAATTCAAAGATCTTTTCGACATGCTCTCGAAGGTAAACGTCAATCTCCCTCTCTTGAATGTTATTCAGATGTCCCGGCATATGTTAAATTTTTCAAAGATTTTGCCTCTAAGAAGAAGTGGTTCGGAGATAATGAGAAGGTGATGATTTCCGAGGTAGCCTCTACTACTATACCTCGGAAAGAGTGTGATCCGAGAGCCTTTGTCATGAAGATCACATTTGGGAATGGAAAAACGACGACCGTAATGCTTGACTTGGGGGGCCAGTATAAATCTCATGTCTCATTCGACTTACAAGCAATTGGAATTGCAAGGGCTTAAGCCGACTCGGATGTGCCTGCCACTAGCGGATCGAACGTTGAGGGAACCAAATGGCATTATTGAAGATGTGATGGTCAAATTTGGTTCTATTGTTGTGCCGGTTGATTTCGTTGTCCTTGACGTTGGAGATGTCCCGAACACCGGGAAAGAGCACACGATTTAGCTTGGGCGACCCTTCATGGCGACTACCAACACTATTATCGACGTCAAGGATGGACGAGTCACTCTTTCGGCTCATGGAGAAACGGTTGCTTTCACGATGAACAATGTCCGAGAAGCTCCACCCAAAGTTGGCCAATGCTCATTCATGGAGGACATCGGCAAAGAGGTACATCCCCATCGTCATTCTAAATTTTCTAATTATAATCGTGTTGAGGAAAAAGTGAAGGGAGTAAAGTCGAGTGTGGATGAGAATGTTGGGGTTGGAGTGAATTTTGAAAAGTTGAAAAATTATGTTGAAAAGGGTGATGGGGTGAAATTGAGTAGGAAAGAGGCTAAGAAGAAGCCTAAGAGTGGAAATGAAAAACCGGGAGGTACCCCATCGGGTTTGGAAGATGATGTGAATTCCGGGGTTTAGAATATCACGAAAAACAGCATGAAATTCGAAAGAAGTGATGAATGGAAGAAGAGACCCCCGGTGCCCCCGAGAAGTAAGTGGGAGAAAATTTTTTTTGACGAGCTCGAGAATGAGGTTGGAGGAGCTCGTCAAAAGGTGCCCGGTTGACTATGAATTGACGGGAGATTCGAGCTCGCAACTTTAAAACGAGCACTTCGTGGGAGGCAACCCGCGTTTTTCTTTTGTTCTTCCTTTTCTTTCTTTTTGATTTTTGTTAGTTCCCTTTCTTTTTTTTTTTCCTTTTATTTAAAAAAATGAGCTAAATCAAGTTTTT